CAGGTCTATACGTGGCGAGTGATTAGATAGCTGAGAGAGCGTAGTGTTGAAGAGGGCACAGCGATGAGAGTCGCATCAATGCTCAAATCAACGGGCAAGGAAGGGGTCCCATTTCTCGGGTTCTGGGCCGTTTCTCATGGTTCTTCCTTCTTTCGTGTACCACTCACCATCCCTAGGTTAATTTGAAATGGGTTGCTTTTTCAGCGTGAATTCGTCCTTTAAGCAGCGACTACGATAGGCACTAGAAGGATTAGACGAGACGAAGTGGAGCTCAATGGTACGTCAGAAAGGCAAAAAAAGCAGAGAAATCCGTCAAGAAAACGCGAAAAGGGGACCCCTTGTTTGGCCGTTGATTTCGCTCAAGGACGGGCAGCAGACGGCGGACGTATGGACGAGTTTACCGCAACGCGTTTGGTGGCACCATGCCAATCCATGCTCCAATCGAGTTGCTCCAGTTGTGCCGCTGCTGGCAACGCAGCTCGTCCAAATCACCAACTAAACTAGTGGGCGGATCGCTTTTGGGGCGGAGTGCTTTCGAAGTCCTGCTCAGCAACCAGCGCACCTTTCGTCGTGAAAGCGCCACACCTCGCTTCCCTGGCAGCCAAGTAACTGCTTCGTGTGGTGCATATGCTTCCCGATACGCTCCTTGATCGTAAATGCTTCTTTTAAAGGAGGACTTCACGATAAGAACGAAGGTCGAAGAAGGGAAAACTTACCTAGTGGAGAGACAGGCGGACCTCCTAAGGGTGCGGACCAACACGCAATTCGCATCGAAGGATATGCCTCGGCGATCTAGCATGGCTTTTCTTTGGCGCAGTTGGCGCGGAACGCCCACCGACGACTATCTAATCACTCGCCGCAGGTCTATAAGAGGCGAGTGATTAGATAGCAGAGAAAGAGCTTAACAATGAAGAGGGCACAATGATGACAACTTCCTTTTCATCGTAAAATCTGTTAAAGTAATCGTTCACTAGACAACTATGTACTGAATTCCGCTTAAATTTAATGCATTAACCCCTCGCTTCATGAGGATAGCAAAAAGAACGGGACACAGACGTCCGATTTGGTAATAATTTAGATGACTATGTAGACTTGAAAATTCGCATTCCCCACCGTGAAACTGCCACTGTGAGTGAGCTCTTAACCTAAAGCGTTTTTGACGGATTCTTTTCCTTTTTTCTTTACTGCCGGCCCACTTCCCACCAATACATTCGCATTCGTGTACAAGAGCCACACCAGTGTGATCCTGGGGCATGCCAGCACTTCCGGTCTCGCCCATCGTAGCAGATATCGCAGTAGGTTGGCTCTATCTCGAATTGCTTCTCTTCCAGAATTCATTCTTTTCTCTCGGAACTTTCAACGTGACTTTTTAAGCTCACGCAACACACTTTTGTTCGAGGTAAGAATGAACAGGTCTCCCGTGGCGATTCCTTTGATCCCTAGCTAACTCGGATCCCACTGAGCGTTAGCCTTGCGGTAAAGCATTCCAGTGATCTGCAGAAGTGATTCACACGAGCGTCACTCTCGGAGCTTAACAGGAGTCGACGTTCCCGCGGTCTTGCTGACGCCCACAGAAGACGATCTCCAAGTTAATTTTAGAAATCGTACAGAAAATAAGACAAGAAACTACATAAACTGACCGCTCCGTCCGCATTTCACAGTCACAATATCACTACTCCAGTAGACTAACAAAAGAGAATCGTTTGAGACATAATGTGAAGCTCTCTTTCAATACAGTGCCTCACAAACATATTGCAACGGCATTCGTGTGAAGCGAAGAGGAGCTCACGTTCCCTGTGTCCTTCCAATAAGTCCCGAAAACTCCTTTAGGAGCTGCACATTTTACAATTTCAGAAGGATCGATTCTGCAGCATTGAGTGGTTGCGTTCACTGCCACTGCAGTGATAAAAGATTTTCACGAATTCCATACTTAAAAAGTAGTTTTTTACGTACGCCGAGTTTCCCAACTACAGGGAAGGACGACTGTTCGAAGTGACTACTATTTTCACTAACATGAATATTTTTGAGATGAAATCTGTCCCACCTCACATCTTTTCGAAGCTGATCTTAATTCTGCATTCCATATCTGCTGACCGATCTTCTAAATAGAGGCATAGAGTTTTTCATGAACAGACTCAAGTTTAGTGTGAAAAATGAGACGCATAAGTTCTTCGGTATGAATGGGCAGCGTGGTGGTTACTGGGTACCCGGCAGAAGGTCCGTCGAAGGGAGAGCCAACGGACCAGTCGCTGCGCATACTGTAGAATAAATAAATAGACAGCGTAATAAAAAGCAGCGGGCAGCGCTGCGATCAACCCCTAGCAATCTAGCAATCCCATGGCACGAAAACCTCAAAATAACAAACAACAGAACCATCTAAGATGTTTTTTGAGAGCTAGAATTGAACAGCTGACTAAGTAGACGAAGCACGTTTCGTTCGTCACGAAAGTTCTCAAGAATTTCTGCCTTATCTCCGAGGGATGCTATCGCTGGGAAACAGGCTTTCATTAGGGTGGTCACCATAAGATATATGTGTTGTCGTAGTAAGCAAAAGTTGTCATCGTAAAGGCCGATAGCGCTTTATTACATTGCCGTTATTGTTGCCGTTATGGATGCCAGAAAGCCCCGTTTATAACACTGGTTATACGTCTGCCAATGAGCATTCCACTTTGATGACTAGTCGTTCAGTGATCCACAGGATATCCGTGTCATAAGAATAGCCATGTCATGATAGTGTTTTTTCGCAGGATGGTTCTGACTCTATTGGACTATGATTCAATATCAGTGCCGAGCGATGAAGGACAAGCGGGAAACTTGATCCCTCCTATACCTTAGGGGGGGGGGACGTTTGATCCAGTTGACATGTTCGCTTGATCAGAAGTAACATCTCGCCAACAGATTTTCTCATTTTCAAATACTTGGAAAAAATTTATGCCTTCAATAGTGCTGAAATGTCTCTTTGGCTATCGCAATAAGGGCGGGGCATAGGGTGGCCACTGCTGTTTAAAACATGTCTATTTTTGTTTAAAATGGGACAAGATTCGCGGACCATTTTTTGCGCTGACGGCCTCTGACGCTTACCCGCTGGTTACTAATTACAGTGGTCTTCGTGTCGAAACTTCAAGCTTGGCGATACGATTCCGGTGTCCCATCCAGCAAATTTTGCTTTTGACAATTCATGCCATTCACCACATAGTATTGAAGGAATCTTGCGCGGAAAATTCTTGCACTCTTTCCTAACATGAATATGTCAGTTGTGATCACTGGAAATAGCACACAAAGTTTCACGCATGAAGATTCGGTTTCTGAAGAGAAACAAACGTACAAAAACTACACGTTATGGACCATCGAAGGACCAGGAGGCAGAGCCAGGCGAGGCATGGAAAGAAGACGGCGTTTGGCCGGCTACGTACCAGGCGACGCAATGAGAGAATCGGGTTAAAGCGCGCGATTTCGGAGAGTGGAGACAAATCGATCGATGGAATAGGATGGAGTAGAAGTGTAAGATGTGAATGCAACGAAGCAGAAGGCCAGAAAGAGCTTCTAGTGAATGCACTCCAAGAACCAAGTTTGAGCATCCCCGTCGCCAGCATTCGTGAAAGACGTCCGTGGGCAATTCGAACGCGTAGCAGCCTTTTCGAGTTTTCGAATTTCTAATCAAAACGAAAGCAATACTTCAGTTCTTTTCAGATCGAAAGGAACATTTCTAGTCCGCAACCCCAAACCCAATCCGACATCACAGTCCTGTAGGTTCCTATATCCTCCGGAGACCTAAAATACTCTTGGTGAGTGGACTGGGTGCAAATGTGTCTAACCAACCACAGCGCAGTAGATTTGCTCAAACGATTCGGGAGTTCTCACAGTACAAACCCAACTCCCTCTGAATTCGAACTTCCTGAGTCGTTGGCGCAATACGGGAGGGCCTTTGCGCTGGAGACCGGCATCAACTAATACCAGTGTCAGTGATGGGGAAGAATCGTTGACAGCTTGATGGCACCGCCTTCAACTTGAAAGCAAAGGAAGACAAAATCTATTTTTCTCTCACGAGGTCGTATAGCCCCGTCTGCGCCCTAAATCTAAAATTCCTAAAAAAAATTGGAGACTCTCGGGCGGTCAGTTCTTTTAGCTCCGCCTTATAGCACTAATCCTGCGTCAACGAACGACTATCCGCTCTCCTCTCTCAATCACCTTCTGGAGAAGAAATCTCACTTGAATCACCATAAAGTCAAAATCGACATCCAATATTTCTTCGATCAGAACTCTATGAAATTCTACAAGAGGACACTGAATACCCACCCTCGCATTGGTTATATGTTGGTAATAATGGTGATGTATACTGCTGAATAAGTACATCAGAGAAATAAGATAAGTAATTGAATCGAAAAACACCAAAGGTTCTCAAAATCCCATGACCGCCTAAATAGTAAGCAACATGTTTATCATAAACGCACTGCGTTCCTCCGCGCGGACATGAATAGAAAACGACAGCAGGAAAAGTCCATATTTCTTTCCAGTATTACCTCAGTATCTTTCCAATTGTTGCTGCGACAGCAATTCCGGAAAAAAAATTCGAAGGCCCCGATTCGCAAACCGTGTCGAGCGCCAGTTCCGTGACTCTAGTAAGTCGGGCGCTAAATGTTACGGTGGCACGCGCACCAACGTGTGCGAGTCCAGAGAGAAAGCACACTGCTGGGACTAGCCTTCCGAAAGGATATTATAGTGTGTCGTGCGAAGTCCCAAAACACTACAAAACACGTTGAATCACCTTCAAGCCTTCCGGTTGATACCATTGCCCTAACGGCCGCTACACCCCTTACGCTATTACAGTATCCGTTCATTTTAAGTGGCTTTGTCTTTAAGAGCAAATAAAGAAAATGCGCATAAATAAAGCTCAGCACTACACGAAGCGTAGACTTTTCCATCTACACCATCTTGACAGAAGCCTTGTAACCAAGTTTGTGATCCGCGTTTCGTGGCTAATGTGACGACAATCGCCTCACTGCGAATGACCGACCGAGGCCTGATAGAACCCCCTTTATTTTTTTTCACTATTGGTTCACATCGCACATCTTTCATTTTGAGCGAAATAACTGTGTCAGTTTGATCACGAATCATGCCTTCAGCTCTAGGTTAATCTTAGGTCCAACATATCCTCTCCTATTCATCCCAATCTAGAATATCAGCATGCTACATCCAACCAAATCATCCTACATCAACACCACAGTGACGGTCATATTATGATGTCATAATAGAGCCAATTCTGGGTTTTCCTTTGTTTACCAGGTTTACCATTCACATACAGTAATATTCTGAATAGAATTCCAGGCGTGCGACACTTCTCTTACTTTGGCCGTTATATGAACAATACACAGCTATCCGTTTAGGACAACAATCTGCCTTGTGACCAGTGGACTGATTGCGTTTGTTAGATGGACCAAAATTCAAGTGAACGAAAAGAAGAAAAGCAGGACGATGTAGACGACGCGGCCACTTACAGCGGAGCTTCAACGTAGGTTCAGACTTCATTTGACTAGCGATGGATCACATTTACAAGGATTCGCAGATTAGCTTCTTATTTGAGCTTCAGCCTATTCACGGCTGACACTTGAAGGAAGGCTGATAAAATATACACCTTGACAAAAATTCAGGTCCTTCTTCAGATCTCGCCTGACATCGACACCCATCGAGAAGAACGTGTCGGACAGCAGCAGCGATTCACCAGAGAAGAGCGCTAAAAGTAGTCAGAAACGGAAGCGAGTTGATGAGCAAACGGTGAGCTTTCTACTCTTGAAGTCTGTACTATTATAGAAACAGACGTAATGTGATAAAGCGCATACCTATTATATTGAGTTTAGCCCTTCCAAATTCGATGTTGAGCGCCATTTTATAGCCTAAAGGAGGATTCCACGACAATGTCTAAGGTAGAAGAAGCAAAAATCTACTTAGAGTGAGGGAAAGCGGACGCCCTGCGTTATTTGCGCGCTATTGGCTCGTTACGCCTCACCTATCTGAACCTAGCCCTGTGAGAGCGTTAGCGTTGAAGAGGGCGACATCGATGAGAGTCCCATCAGTGCGGAAATCAACGGGCAAGGAAGGGGTCCCATTTTTCGGGTTCTGGCCGTTTCTCATGGTTTTTCCTCACCAGCGCCACTGTCTACCTCTACCTATTCTATGGGCTGCCTTCTTACGTAAACACCGCTCGATCCTATATCATGAGAGTTTTGGTTATTCTCTAAAAATTTGTAAACAGATTGGTAAGTGAAGCGTACGCAACTTTTGGTCTCAGATATTTCAGTTGTGTGTGGTTGATGTGATAAAAATGGAACCTTGGGCAACTCTGATAAGCTAGGTGTTTTGTACAGCATTACTCCTGGGAGGAGATTGAAGCCTTGTTAGATTTAAATTAGTATCCGAGGTCGCATTGGTTATATTAGGTTGTAGGGAAAGTTATCGCGGTTTTTCGAAGCACGTGGAGCTCGTTGAG